GAATTGAGGTTGGTTTTAAATTATTGTAAAGTTCCCAGAACCTAGGAGAATGGGGAAGTATATAAAAATGAAAATACAATACAATAAAGCCATGCCAAGTCCCATCAGGCAAACATCACCGCTGTCTCGGAAGTACTCTGAAACACATTGAACACTTGAAGAAAAGCACAAAAATAGTCTACATAATCTAGCCCTCTTCCCAATTGTTGGTCATTGTTCAGGCTTCCCAAACAGTCATTCTGTATCCTCTTATTGGAACAACATAAGCCAGTCAGCAAAAGTTTTTCCTTTTATCAGCAGCTACAAGGTTTAAAAGGAACTTGTTTGGACTTTGCAGAGAAGAGGTGCACAGAATAGCAACATCTGTTTTCTGTATCTTTCCAATGCAAGTCCACACTTGGCTTTTGAGTCCAACGTATTATTTATTATAAAGCCACAAGTCCAAAGTTATCTTTTTGCCAGTTGGTGAGGGCTCTTTTAGGAGGTCTTTTTGGAGGTCTCTTCCAAACCCTCAGTCAGATTATTCAAACATGTCAGATCAAATTACCTATCTCAATTTTGAAGCAGCCTCTTCAGTCTTGTTATTTAGCCCTTTCCATGCCAGCTTAACAGACTGTGGGTAGAAGAGCTCCATGTAATGATGCCAGGAACAGAGGTAAATTAATCTACCCCTTACAGAGGAACTTCAAGGGCTGGCTGCCCATTTTTAAAGGCAATTTTTGGATAAAATATATTTCAGACTTCAACATTTCTTTCTTTCATGTTGGACTTCATGGATATCCAAGGCCTATAAATTTGGATAACAGGACTGATAGAAAAATGCAGCACTCTTCTAGATTGCTCAGACTCTACTTGAAGAAAATTGCTCTTCAGTTCAAAAGCTGACTAGCCTAAACCTACCAAGACAAGTGCTTTTAGCTGCAAATATACTGACTTGCCTGGGAGTAATTCCACAGAACGCAAGGGGACTTAATTCTGAGTAGGCATGCATAGTTTTGCACTGTTATTAAATAGCATCACAGCAATTAATTTGTATTAACTTTTAGGGTGACATCAAAGTTGTGTTGCTAGTCTTACTTAAACTAAGCAAAAGCAAATCAAACATCATTAATGACAAATTGAAAAGCAGTATGCATTTGCCCAAAGAGGCAAGGAAAAACTATTTCCTGAAACATTTCCGAATGCTCAGTTGATCTGAGAATACATTGACTGGCATGAGATGTGAATTGCTAAGTGTTGGCACTTGAATTATGGGATGCCATAAAGTGGCTCTTCAGATCTATGGTGTTGAGATTACAGGGTTAGATGGAACAGTGGTTCAGTATAAGGCTTCCTATTTAAATATTTAGAAGCTGATATGAACCTTTGACTGTTGTAAACCACCCAGAGAACTTTGGCTCAGGGTGGTATAGAAATGAAATAATAATAGTAATAGTAATAATAATTTATCATTATTCTAGATATTGGGAGATTAGGGGACAGGTATAATTTGTGACTGTGAAGTATAACTGGAAATGTGGAAAAATGAACAATCTTACTAGTTATGCTATTTTTGACGATTTCTATGAACACAGTCTGAGCAATGTCTTGACCCTATGAGTCTGTGTCATATCTGCAAGTCACATTATGGCTTGTGCCAAGCAAGAAGTGAAGCTAGTGTAACTTGCACAACCGCTGCATTCCATCAAGGCTTGTGCCCCTGATGTATCTAAAAGAAGCAAGTGAAATGAAACATATTTGCATTTATTCAGTTTGATTCAGTATGTTTCTGAGAATTGGCCCCCACCCACAAAAAAGTAAGGGATCATTTAATTCTGAAAGGAGTAGATCAATCAAGGCTGTATTCGTACTTCTCTATTCACATAGCTGTCATAATCACATATATGCGGTGAGACTGTTGCATGTACTAAGAGGTCTCCAGCTGGTGAACGGGTTCACTCAAGTCCCAGTGTGGGTTGAATCAGCATGCCAGATTAACTCACACAGGTATAAATGTTAACATTCACAGCCTGGTCCAGCTTGACATGGGTGCCTGAAATATACATCTCATCTATATTTTATTGGGCTTGGAAGGAAGCAAGCTGTCAGAATGGTGCAGATGAAAAACTTGTCCTGTCAGCCACTCAAATCTGCTCTGTAGATAAACAGAAGGGTTGAGGCTCCAGGACATTCTAAGACATCAGTATGCATTAGCACAAATATTAAAATGTAAAGACTTCTAAGCATGGTTCTCCAAGGTGATTTATTTTTCATCAAGGTGAAATTGCTTTGAAAGGGGTGATACTTTAAAAAATATTCTAGACATCTAGTCTAAAATGAGTATGATGTGTTTATCATGCAACTCAGCTCACAGGCTTCCATAGCTCCATGTATCCACCAAGCATTATCAGTGGTGCAATACCTCACTGAGGAGCACACTTTTGCCAAGATGAATATTGGAGATGAATATTGGTGTACTAATTATATATTTACCCCACCCTTTTCAGGGTGTTGTACCTAGCCAAACCACCACCATTTTCAAAAATGGTGAAATATAGAGTTAGTTCACATTCCCATAGGAAGAGTCATGTGTGAAGCAGTAATAGGCAAGTCCCCCATTGCTCAAATCAGGTTGGTTCAGGATAAACTGAGGCCCTTCCAAAATTAGAAGAAAGTTCAGCATAACCAAAGCCAGTCTGAACTGATTGTCACCCCATGGACTCCTAGCCCAATGTGCTTCCAAATCTCTTCCTATCACTTCGCTTTACCAAAAGCCTCCTTCATCCTTGCACACAAAAGACCCCAATTTCCATTCTCTTCCATAAACCTGAATCTGCTACTGCTCTCTTGCTCAGTTATTCTGGCTACAGCAGAAAGCAAAGGGGAAGAATGAAGGTAAAGTCTGTCCTCACAGTCATCTGGAAGCAAATGAAAACTCACCTCCTTCTTTCCTGTCTCTAACTTCCTTTTAGAACATTAGCTGCTTCCTGGTAAATTGATAGAAATGAAAAGGAATGGTGTGTAAGGATTATTTCTGAATGGGTCCCAAGAGGATTTAGACAATAGGTGACATTGAATACTTTTCCAGCTTGAATTTCAATCTGAGCCATAAAATAATTATAGAATTGTAATGTTCACTTTATATTTTATTATGATGACTCCTAATATATGAAAAATCATGTTTGAGTCTTGGCAACATCTTTAGCCTGAGCATGAATTTGAATTGTAGTTGTATTTGTCTATGACCAAAACTATATTTCCCAATACCACACTTGCTTCCAGTAATGATTGATTCCATGATTCCTTTCAGTCATTGATAAACTTTCCTCTGTTCTGCACCTCTGTCCCATGCTCTACAGTAGTTAAAACTATTGGCAGAAAATCATTATGTATATGGGACCTCATCCATTTCTACAGGCCCAAACTCTGTCCACCCATCAGTCCTTAATTGATTTACTGCCTCCTTGGTAACCAACTTTTTGCTCATTCCTTTGGTCAAGACAACTTCCATCGATTAATCACACTTAGTGAGAGAAGTTTCCACAATCATCTTTACTTAGCAAGCCAATGTAAGGAGAAAAGGTCTGCAGTGGAGGAGCCACCATCAGGCTCATGCTGAGTAGAGAAGGTTAGAAGCCGTATTTCTTTCTTTCCTTTGGGCTGATGTAGTTCTTTCCAGTGATCTAAAGACTCTTCCGAGATGCTTCTTTTTTGTGCTTATCATTCTCAAAGCAATGGTTGGTGGAATTTTCAACCATCTAAAAGGAGACTCTCCATGGTGGACAACATCTTCTGAAGGTAGACCTCAAATTTTATCTGCGAAGGGCAGTGTCTGCAGTAACCTGTGACCCCGGCATGCCTTTGCTAGGATCACAGCACAAAAATTAAATTCAGCTTGTAATTAGGAAACAAAATGACAATCAGACTTTAAGTGCAAGCATCAGTGAAAATCTCTGAACCAAGGACCACTTCGTATATGTCATTAGTCTTGAAGCGAACATTAGGGAGTGAGCAGGGCCTCTATCTGGTTCACAACGAGGCCATGCTCACATAAGGTACCATTTGTCTGAACTACCAAATAGGAGAAGTGTAAGTAGCTGCTGCAATTTTCCCAAACACATGGTTGCAGAAGGGACCCTGCTATCATCATACTGCAAATTTATAATGGTTCCCAACTTACATGGCATGGCTTATTTGCAGCATATTAAATTGTCTCCATTAAAATATATATTCTATTAAAATGCTATAAAGTTCCTGTCATTTGCAGAAACAACTACTTAATGGCACTGTTTTCAACACCAGAACTTCAGAACAGTTAATTCGAAGCACATGTAGTATGGGTAATTCTCATTCCCTTAATCTTTTTATCTCTTATCTATGAGGTATCTATCCCACTGAAAAGCAGTGTTCGAACTACTAAACAGAAAGAACAGCCACATTAAAATGTTAGCCATCTTCCTTTTCATTCTGGCTCTTCTGCACTCTTGATCATACCATCTATCAAGAGTGAGCTATCTCAAGATGGATCATAAGCCTAGTGTAATGCAATTACCAGACTAGAAGTATTGCTTTACACAGCATGAAATGAATAGGCAAGTCTGCTTTACACTTTATGAATCAACTGACAACGGACTGAATAGTACAATTAGAAAGAAAAAAAGGGAGAAGGCAGGCACAGTCTTCCACAGTCCAGTTAGACAAGGAATTAAAGTGAATCTAGTGACTCACAAAGACATAACAGTTGGGGTATTTGACAAAAGACTACGCATATGGGTAAAGGCAGAGACAACAGTGAAATTCCAGTGCCTGTACGCCATTTTCCACCATACTGCCACACTAGTAATGAAATTTGCCAGCAGATTGGTACTGGCAAAGCACCAGTCAGATCAAGCAGATTAAATTTTAATACTATCAACTAAAATGCAGACCTATTATTTTTATTTTAAATTATTAGATTAACAAGGGATGATAAATTCATCTGCAATAGGCCCAGTTTTCTGCCTACTTTACAATCACACATATTTCGGTAATAAAAAATAACACTTTATTTGCAAAATAAAAGTAATTACATAGTGATATAAATAAACTGACATGTACAAATAATCTGTGTAAATTCCACAAGATATATTCCTGCTCAAACACTTTCATGTCATATTGGACTACCAAAGTTATTTACACAAGCCAGAGGTTTGGTTTGACATTCTGGCTTAAAAACAAATTGTGAAATCTGTGTTTTCATACATGAAGCTTCATTTATATTTTTTCTACAAACAGACAGAGTAGGAAAACTAGTGACAGCCTCAAATTCTGACCTTTCAAATTCCTCCTGAGAAAAACACACATCGTAGTAAAGGCATTACTTTCATCGTTAACACTATTAGTGTGTAAGGCCTAGGTTTTAATTTCATTCCTTCGGATCAAATTCAAATTCATTTTGAAGGCTCCTATGGATTAACAACACTCTTAAAATGACAAGATACGGCTAAGCTTTGATCCTTAATGTAGACGTTAAAGCTATACAACAGAGAATGCAAGAGGACATTAACACATCTTCTATACTGCAACGCAATTTCACACAAACCGCATTTATACAGGCACACTGACTTACTGAGCACCATTTCTCAGCTTGTTTTAAAACCTGAACACATGAATGTTCAAATCTGGCCATACAAGAGAACTGTCAAGATATAAAGCAATGTAAAGCAAGGTTTTCATGAAAGGTATAATGTTTTGAAAACCAGACAATCCAACACTTTTACTGAGATGAAGCCACCCTTAAAAAAAAAAAAAAAAAAGTACAAATAGCAAAGCACGGCATTGATAACAGTAGTTTCACCAAGTTCACTGCAAGTGCCCTTCCCGCTGAATTCGAAGGCGTTCTTTCTCCACTTGCAAACGTTCTTTCTCAATTTGCAACTTTTCTGATTCAAACTTCAGGAACTGCAGCCTCTCCTTCTCAAGCTGCAAGCGCTCCTTCTCAATTTTCAGTTTTTCTGTTTCTAGATCCAAAGGCTGTAAGACAGGCTTCTCCGACTGGCTGGGATCATTCTCCAGAGCAGGTTTTTCAGCATGCAGGGCTTCAAGCCTTAATTTCTCTCGCTCAATTTGTAACCGCTCCTTCTCCAGTTGAAGCCTCTCATGCTCCAGGTCAACGTGTCGTAACCTCTCTTTTTCAATCTGCAGACGCTCCTTCTCAACTTGCAGTCGTTCTGCTTCAATATCCAGTCGCTGTTTCTCCAGCTCTAACTTCTGTTTCTCCAAGCTAAGCAGCAAATGGGAATCCTCATAGGCCAGCCTAGCTTGAGCAGAGCTTAAATTACCAAATTCTTCAATGTGGGTGAAATCAGGAAGGTCACTTTCCTTTTTGGAATCTGGCAACACTGAAGACAGTATTTCCTCTTCTTCTTCAATAGGGAACTAAAGAAATCAATCAGAAATGTAGTGTTGTTCCATGCTAGACAGGACACACCCATTAACACTAAAGTACAAGGGCCTACAGCTTCTATGGACCGCCTGCACATTTATCTTGTTGTATTTGCCGGGGGGGGGGTGCACTGGCAAAATCTGAGACTGAAAAAGGTGTTGTGAAAAAGGCGTGACTGATATAAAATGCAGCACCTCTACACCTTATCTCCATCTCTCTCTTTTATCATTTAGTGAACTAAATCCATTATAAGACATAATCACCTTGTGACCTTCCCTGTATGTGTCCATTAGTTGCTGTTTACCAAACTGGGGAAGCTTGCAGTGCAACACCATCATATAACATGTGATAACTTACTGAATATTCAGGGAAGAAAGGGAAGGAAATATATGCTATAGCTTATTGCTGCCACTAAATCATCTTGACAGTTTCCCATGTTGGCCTCAGACGTCTCCAGTGGTATGATGATAAGCTGACATTAGCAATCTGTCAAACCTTTTAAATCCATATGGATTTTACTTATTACACACAGGTTGGCAAATGTTTGGGCACATATGGAAATCTGAGAATGTGTCTTAGACAGAATTATAAAATGGCTGCAATAGGTGAGCACATCTTGTCACACAAAACAAGTAACCTGCCCAAGGGCATTAATGGAAAATTAAGATGGTGACAGCTGGAGGCCCCAACTTTGCTTTGGAGCGATCTTCATTGCCATGAGAAAATATATTTAAATCCTAATTGGGATGGGTAGATTGTATCAGTAACCTCCACAGGAAATATGCAAGGACACATTTGTGCTCATGTACCGGGCTGATTATCCCTGGAATAACACTGGCATTTCATGCAACAGAACTTTCAATTACAAACCATCTTAAATACATACACATTAAAAAGTCATACTTAATTAAATGTACAACCCTAGCCACCAGAGACTCTCAGACTGAAGATCTTCTGAGTCTCTAGGTAAAGGAAGATCTATAGCTATAAAACAAGCAAGATCACCTCACTATGCACCATAATGATTATCCAAACTATATGCAGGGATAATAATTAATGTAGTTTTCTCATTAATGGGACTCCAGGGCGAACTGCTAGTTTAAATTAGAAAGCATATAGTAGTTGAGCTAGGAAGTTTTGCGAATAATTTACACATTAAATATACCTACTGTACTTGAAACTACTTACTTCAAAACTCTGTGGATCTTCCTCCTCTTCTTCTACTTTGACTTCAGTTAAGGATCCACCTGCTTCTCTGAAGTCTGTGATGTTCTGCCATTCAAAACTCGATTCATTTGGGAATCCCATTTTCTCATCTATATCTTCATTGAGAGAGTCATCCAAATCAGATGAAGGAAGATGAAAGCCAGCACCCACAAGCTTTATGTTGGTATTCAATCGTTTCCGTTTCATAAGAGCCCTCCAATCAAGATATCGTCTTTTGACTTCTGTCCCTGTTCTTTGCTCTCCTTCACCTACAGCATTCACACACTCTGCTATTTCTTCCCAAGCCTTCCGTTTCATCTCATTAATGGTTGTATTCAGTTGCTTGGAAAAAAGCACCTCCCTCCTCTTTCGGATTTCTTTAAGTAGAGTTTGAGTTTCCTGAACACTAAAATTGCTTTTTCTTTTTCTTTTCAATTGTTTCATGTTTTCCAACTTTCAGTATACTTCCTTCTGTAGCAGACAAAAATGATTAGTACCTTTGTTTGTTAACAAACACCCTAGAACTCAGTTTATTTCTGCACAGCAGTGAGTTTTCACATCAACATTTTAGCTATCCCCTTCTAAACACCGTAAAAATAAATAACAGAGAGCAAAGGAAGTGTAGAAGAGAAATATAGATCACATTTTAGAAAATGTAATAGATTATTTAATAGCGCTATTTTAGTAACAGCTATGAAGAGATCTTTAGTTGACTAAAATCTTATTGCTTAAATAAAATACATAGTGCAAATAGTTAACTATGTGGCACACGTTTGATATTGGCCAGCACATCCTGCAACCTAAACTAAATCTTTTTAATTAGGTGATTTTCCTTGCATTTTTAGGAGACACTTGATTAGGGGAATTTCTAATGTTGAAACTACTTATAGTGCAAATTCCAGACAATCCTGGAATTTTCCAATGTTTACATAACTAAATATGCAAAAAATAAAATAATGCAATCATAGATGACTATTAAGAAATATATAATTACAACCAGTCCAATAAACATGTAGGATATTTATTTATTTATGAAGTAAAATAAAATAATTTATTTTTTATTTTATTTAAAGTTTTTATATCCCACCCATTACAGTGTCTCAGGGCAGCAATAACATAAATAAACAAACAATATTTATTACAGGCATTTATATCCTGTCCTATCATCAAGCACTCAGGACGGCTTACAAAATATAAAATAAATAGTAAAAACAATACTAACACTTAAAATACTGGGAAAATAAAAAGGGTTTGGCCTGGCACAAAAATGAAAAAAGTGTCGGTGCCAGGCACACCTCTCTGGGAAGCCCATTCCCTAGCTGCGGCGCCACTGCAAAGAAGGCCCTTCTCCAGGTAGCCACTCTTTGGATCTCCTTCAAAGAGGGCTCCCAAAGAAGGACCTCTGCTCCAGATCTTAGAAGCCAAGCAGGTAAATATGGAAGGAGGCACTCCTTCAAATATCCAGGTCCTAAGCTATTTAGGGCTCTGTAAGTCATCACTAGCACCTTAAATTTGGCCTGGACTTCAACTGGAAGCCAGTGCTGATGGGACAGGACCGGCTTTATATGTATATATCTGCCGGTCCCTGCTAGCATCCTGGCTGAAATGATTTGGTTTTGACCTTATGTAATAGAACTTGTTCATTTTCATATATTTTATAAAATCAGTTATAAATCTTCATGTGGCTTCTGAAATTGAGTTGAATTTTAGTTTACTTACTCTGGATATGCTGCATCCATGTATCTGCAAAATACACAGGAATTGCAAACTGTGCCAATATGTGAGCTGTCGTGGTGTCATTGTGACCAACAGAATTTATTCACTTGATAGAGACAATCCTGGCATAGTAATACCATGACAAATCATCCATATTAAACCAATTAATTATTTTCACTCCCTGTTTTAGTACAGAGAAAGTAACAGCAGACAAATCATATGCACCCTCAGAGACCTACTCATATTTTACCTTGACCACAAATAATTATTTGGTACAAAGGAGTGCTGAGCAAGAGGAAAAGCCACTGAAGTACCAGACAAGATAAAGGTATGTTTCCTGTCACAGCCTCTGTGCATCCTGCATTTGCAGTTGCACAGGGTAGGAGTGTAGAAAATCTTGGGTGATTTAAGCTAAAATGAAGAGGCTTTGGCAGATCACCCTCCTGAACCAGCTGGACTATTTGTGCTCTTTACACTCATATCCTTCTGAGTTACTGCATCTGGAAGTAGTGTAGAACTTTTCTGAGTACATTTTTGTATGAAGAATATTCCATCTTTGATATAACAAGTTGTTGATCTATATTGTTAAGAATTACATTTCTTTTTCTGTACTGCTACTGGTTTACTTTCATTACTGAGGATGCAGCCAGGGCTATGTTATCCAGCAACCTGAGGAAATAGGTGGTGACTGTAATGCCACCAAGACACAGGTTAAAGAAGTGCCTTAGATATGAGGAAAAATATTTGGTTTCTGGGAAGAAACTATGTCTGGTCTAGTTAAGGCAAAGGAAGGAAAAGGGAAGGAGCAGTTAGGCCTTCCAGGTGTTTTTGGTTAGGGTTAGGCCATGCAGGATACAGCTGTTAGCATTTATGGGCTTAAACAGCTGAAGGGATACCTTCCTCTGAAAAAAAGAAAAAAGAAATGAAAGAGAAGCCTTCAGATGTGTCCAGAGCACAAATGGTTCCTCAGTAATATTAATATGGAAGACATTGCCGGTTTCCCTCTGAAAGAACTAAATCAAAGTTCTACCTGATGAATAGTTATAATATTCAAAAAATACCATACAATCAATTGTCTTTTGTGCATCTTGGCGATCTCCTCTTTCTTCCTGATAAGGCAAAGGCTAGCCGTCTCTGTCCTTTGTGATTTATATGGAGACAAGCAAGCAATTTAAGAGCACTGTTAGTGTATTGGCAGTAACTATGAAAACCCATCTTATTTAAAGTCAAATACAACAGATCCAAGGAATCATGAAACATCAGATTCTAGCATGGTATGTCCCATCATCAGACTAAGCCAGAGGGAATCCTAAAACTACCTCTGAACTACCTCCACTGGAAGTTCAAATGGTGGAAATGGGCCACTGTCTTCTTTCCTCTCCCTTGGGTTTGTTCTAAACAGGATGCTGGACTAGCTATCCTTTGCCCTGATCCAGAAAGGCTCTTCTAATGTTCTCATATTCAATATGCGAATACAACTACAGTATGCTCTGGTGTATCTTTAATGAGACAGTTAGGTTGCAGCACAATTCAGTTTTCTTCTCCTAAGTTCTTGCACATTCTGGATATGACCGGAGAATCAAAATTTGTTTAAAAGGTAAGGATCAAAAATCCAGGATACAAACATCTCTTCCTTTTATTTTCCAGGCCAATGAAGTTTTATAAAGAGAAGATGGACTAATTAATCCTGAAGCATTAATTTAGAGAGAAAGAGAGAGATGCTGCACTTTTTCCACAGCTAATTGAAGCCTTTCAGAAATTCCTCTCTAAATTATAACTTCTGCAGCTCCTTGTGTTCCATTTTCCACCATGAATTATTAGTTTGCATGAATCAATGCAATCAGCAGTTTACGTTAAAATGATTTATTGGGATGCTCTACTCTGATGGAGACTACAACAGTATTATTGTATCAGCATAGCTCAATTAACTGTATTTTTATAATTGTAAAACTCTTGCAATGAAAACTCATTAAGGATCAAGCATTCTGGTAGAAGAAAATCAATTTAAAATCACCTGATCAGTACATGATAGCCTTAAAGTTCCATCTTAAAATGTCTAATGCTCTTTTATAATACATGATATTTGTCTTGCTCTGTTTTCTCATTTTAAGGGCTGAATTTTGTTCAGTTCTGATGTAGTGAAGAGAACAAACCATATGGGCTTTTAAATTTGTGTTAAAATGTTTTTACAAAATAATTTCCATAAAGTCAAGGAGTTTCTTCTAACCTAGAATTTTACAACTATATAATAGTAACACTAAACATTTTCTAAAATATTCATTCTCACAGTGTGATGGGAAGATTTGATAAATCATGAAATCTGAAAACTCATTTGAGAATTATTTTGTATCTCTCCTCTGTTCTGAGAAACTGAAAATGCATTGTCACATTTTCACATTTTTAATTAAATCATGGATGAAACATTTGAGGAAAAAGCTTATCTTTTTAGAGCTTAACTCAAGTGAACATGAACTGTAACACTGAAGAGATTGCTTAATTGTGTGTTGCTGTGCGGAAAACTAAGACACAAATGACTGTATTTGTAAGAAAATATTTGAGCTATGACTGACAATCAGGACTGGATATAACAACAATTAAATGATCATGAGCACAATCCAATCAAAATTAAAATGTTCTTACTGAAATCAAATTGATTATCAATTTGTGCTTTAAATCTTTCTCAAACAATAAAATGACTTGGGATGCAATTCTATGGTCTCCCAACATTGTCTGGAAGGGTGGGGGCTCATGGGATAAGTCCAACTACAAGTTCCACTCTCAGAAATGTTTTATGAAGCGAAAGCTGGGACTTTGCTGGACCATTCCACAGTACAGTTCTTTCTGTGTCAGCTTAACATGTGTTGCTTTGGATATTGCTCTGTCTTTGTTGTTCCTCTATCAATTATTGGGTTGTGTTCATCAGCCTACTCTCTCTCATCATCAGGAGGGCTAGCGTGGTTTTCTGGATAATTTTGGTCTAGGATACAGATAATTTTGGTCTAGGATTCTAGTTCCCGCTCAGGCCATGATTGTGAGTCAGCCACTACTTCTAAGCCAAACCTGCCCCACGCGCATGCTATGAGGATAAAAAGCAGAAGAGGGAGATCTTCTAAGTTGCCTTTATTCATTGCAAGAAAAAAAAGGCAGAATGTAAAGGTAATAATAAATATAGTATATTTCAAAACTAAAGTGTTCATAGACTTTCCTCAGTCAGAAATCCCTCATTATCCCGCCAAAAAGAGAATTAGAACTGCTAAGTTCTCTATATCCAAATGATATACATAAAAACTTTATTAAATAAAGAAAAATATCCCCTGGAATCTTTTTGTTTGATCCCTGTACCAATGTTTCCACAAGGAGCTGTCCACAACTATTTCAGCTTCTCTTTCTTAATTTACAATAGCTAAATTAGAATTCAACTTTTAATAGATATGTTTGATGTTATTTTTCTGGTCAATACTGTTTTTTAGACTCATCAGTACTGAGTATCATCACCATTTGTTTCTTATTTTCTTCTCAGCCAAGATTCACTCAGCATTGTCACACATTCCTTTAAGCTCACCTCAATACTTCTTTGTAAGGGTTGAAATATCGAGAATTTACTCTCTGCCCTCACTACAGTTATTCATGGAACATCATCAAAACATGAGGATAAACTGAAGATGGCAATGAACATGTTAACTGTAGCATGTAACCCTTGGTTCAGGGATGAATCTGATTTGGACTGCATTCCAAATCACCCTGGTCAAATCTAAAACTGATCAAGAGCCCCCATGCTGACTAGAGCATTCTGGGAGGTTTAAGACTTTTTTTGGCTAGGATAGGATGGCAGCCAAAGTCATTTTTAAGTGTGAGAGACATAACAACATCCAAACTGTAGAACCTCTCTCTCTTCATATTAGAAGCCTGAAGCCTTGATGAACATTTGCTCAAATCATGAAAGTCTGAGTCATGTTCTGCAAAATCCTAAACAACTTAGCTCAATGCCACCTAAATCCTAGATCTGCAGACTGCAAACTTAAATACTGATTACAAATACTTGATAGGAGCTACTGAACAAACTTGTAAGCCGTCCTGAGATCGTGTATAATAGGAAGGCACACAAAAGCGTTTAATAAATAAATAAAATTCCAAATAACCATGGTTGCAACAGCATGTTCACTCTATTCCTGGGCACAGTTGGGAAACTCCATTAAATGCTAAAATACTGAATAGTACCTACAAGACTTAGGGTAGAGAAAAGAGGAAAACCTCATACTCTGATGGAAGGTGCCAGAGCAAGTGGTGGTGCCTTTTTTGAGAAAATTCTTGATGCCCCACAGATCAGAAAGTTTGACCCAGGAGGCTGTCTTCTATAAAACTGTGCCCAAACCATTAAGCCTAGATCTGCGTATATGGCAGAACACAATAGGCAGTACTGCCATTTAGAATGCTGTCCTGGAAAAACTCTTGCAAGTATAAAACCCACTCAGCAGAGTGAATTGCCCTATGAACTTTCTTCCTAATGTGCCAGTTTTCTACATGAAAATTAGGGGGGTATAAACATTATATGGGATCATTACACAATGCAAACAAGGCACATGAAAGTGAAGCAAAAATGCCACCGACTGCCTTGGGGAGGGCCTCCATCAGACTAGAAGTCCCCGTGCCAGTAGTGCAGGGGAGGGGGTTGCTTGGAATGCGTGTTTCTCAGCGTTTCCATTTTATTTTCTAAACGTTTTAATGGCCGCTTTGGGTACGCTCCAAAAAAGCGGAATATAAGCCTACTGAACAAATAAAGAGGGTGCACCCCCCCACACACAAACACACACACACCCGCAGTGGTACAGGCCATGCTGCCTCTCAGGACGGCGCCAGCTTTCTCGACCGCTTATGGAGATTAGGAGCCGAGGGAGAGAGAAGGGGGTCCACCCTTCTCCTTGCACGGGCGCGTGCGGGCGGCTGAGAAGCTTCTCAGACTCGGTGGGGCGGGGAAGCGAAGGGGAGGCTATTCTCCTCCGCGCTGTCCGGGGCAGGAGACGCCGGCGGCGCCGAAAGGAGCGGCTCCGACATCCTCCCGTCAGAGGCTGAGGCTTTGGGGGAGGGGAAGAAAGCCCATCAGAAAACAGCGACGTGCGAGCGAAGGCGAGGAGAGGAGGAGTCGGAGGAAAGAGCCCAGTCCCCCCTCGCAAGCACGGAGCGAGGCTCTGCCCCGCTCCCCACAGGAGGACGCGGCTCCTCCCCTTCCTTCTTTCTTTCCTTCCTTTCCACCCTCCCTCAGTAAGCGCAAAAGCAACTCACCTGCTCGCAGCGCTCCCCCTCCGAACGCCGGCCTTTTGACCCACCCCCCTGCCGCTGGCGAGCCCGCTTGTCACTCATCCATTCACGTGGCGCTCCGATTGGGCCGAGCCGCGGCTCGTCAGCGGCTCGCGCTCTCCAGCGGTTCCAACCGCCTCCTCGCGCCCCGCCCCTTTTCCCAACTCGCGCAACTTTGCCCGCCGCTTTCCTCCCGCCTCCGTTCGCTTCCACCACGCCTTTGTCCCAGCTATTGGTCGAAGCGGCTGCTCATCAGCGGGGCTGGCTGTCATCATTGGCTACGAAAACAAGAAGTGGGAGAGTTCGGGAGAGAGGGAGTTAGACGGAGGTGTGTCGCTGGGCCGAGCTCCGCCTTCTGTCTTGCACCGTCACGTCGGTACGCCAGTCCGTATCTCTTCTGCCAGGATTGGTCCTTCACGTTAGAGGCCTTTGGCATGGTTCAGCTGAAGCGAGCTCAGTGATTGTCGACCCTATTCGCCCCGCACGCCCCACTGAGACAGTGAATGCGGGCCGCCGGGGCAGGATGACGGAGAAAGGGTTGGGTTCCATACAGCTGGCTAGCATGGAGCTTGTAAGATGCTCCAGGGCAACACAGCAAAGAGTTCTGGATTGCAGCACTGAGAATCTGCGTGATGGTTGTTACTGGAAGTGGCTTTGAAAGGGGATTGGGCACATTCTTGGAGGATAAGGTGCTCAATGGCTGCCAGTCTTAGTGGGTATATGCCACCTCCGGTATCAGTGCTTGTATGCCTGTATACACCAGTGGCTGCGGCACATGGTCAGGAGGGTGATGCCCTCATGTGGCATTTTTCCTGGGCAGCTTGTTGGCACAGAGGACCGGAAAGCTGTACTAGATGGACCTTGGCTCGATGCAGGGATACTCCTTTATTCTTGGGAGAAGCAGCTTTTTTTGCTCTCACTTGGGCAATGCAGCAATGTGGCTTGGCCCTACTGAGGAAACCCTTTCTATCATTCCTGCTATGTCACCTGGAAAGATAGCAAGAGTGAGCATACAAGGAGAGGCTTCAGCCCAGAGTGGACACACCACTTCCACAGCCTTGCATAGTGCTCCCTAACCTGCAGCCTGTGGGACCCAGTTGTGCTGCCCTAAGGGAAAGAGTGAGCAGGTAACCCACCAAGGAGGAGGAAGCTGACCCGAGATCTGGGCCATTGCATGCTGGGCCAGGGTGGCCAGAAATAGAGGGTGCAGACAAAGCAAAATATTAGACTGCTTTGTGCAGCTATTCCATCTTGTTTTTCCTGTATGGGATCAGCCAAAAACAAAGGCTGCAGTAGCAGTAACCAGAAGCAGGTGCTACTTATGCACTTGCATTTTTCTTTTGCCAAAATCCAAGGCCCAACAGCTGAGGGCAGGCCCAAATAATTATACAGAGCTGCAGGTGTTAAGGGCAACAGAGGAAATTCCCTTTATTGCTGTGATCATTTTTGTTGTTTTCCATTATAAGAAATGTAGAAGCAGGTCTAAAACATGGAATAGCAGGAAATGGGACTGGGAAGGGAAATTTCAGTATGGTACTTCACAGTTCAAGTAATAAGCATGGCTGTCTAAAGAGGACTCCAAAAGACATGTCCAGGGTTTAGAATCATCTGAGGCCTCCCTTGTAGGACATGAAAAACATTGGGCAGGTGAGGTTTACAAGAAGGAGCTGCCACTGCTTCTGATCACCAATGTGTACACTCACTGGGGAGCTCCACCTTTTCACTCATCCTTCCTGTGTGTGGCAACAGGGATGGATGATTACCTCCCCTGGGCTTGCCAGGCAGGAAATGGACCTATCTACCGAAATGAAAAAAACAGGTGAATGGGCAGAGGCAGCAGTTCTCTCTGGCTTATCAGTGCTAAGGATCCCAATCCTGTCCACTGATTTGCAAAGAAAGGCTGAACATGGAGCTGCTGCCTTCTCCAATTCATGCACTGGTGGTCTTGCTGGCTTCAGTTTTCCCTGTTGGGCTACACAGAGAGGGTGGCTGAATCCATCTGCATTCTTCCTCCAGGCAGCTCAGCAAACCTAGTCCTCACACTTGTTCTTTCTAGAGCTGAGAAGAGACAAGTGAGCTGCAGCTCAGGTTATTGTTAGGATATGTGGAAGGCTTCTCTAGAAGCTAAGAAATGGAGGAAAACTTTGGTCAAGAGAGAAGTCTGGCTTATGCCTTGATTAACAAAGCTGCTTGACAAAGCTTGATTGACAAAGGCAGACATCTGCCACATTGTGGGAAACAAAATCTGATTCTGAATTTCTGAAACAAGATACAAGGTACACAGCTCCCTGTGTCCAGCTGTTCTGGGCAACTGTCATGGAACTCATGTGCCTGATAAGATTTGAATGCAATTAAGTCCCTGAAAAGTAATGTCTCCTGACCTTTAATTGGCCAATCTAGAACCAAATATTGTATAGTATTAGGCATGTGTGTTTATTCCATTATGGAATTGCTTATTGTGATCACAAACAAAATTTTATGCAAAGGGTAGATGCAACTGATTACTGGATTTGGAAGCTCCAGTGTTATTACCTAACTTGTAACTCTCTATCTCTATTTGTATCTGAACTATTTTCTTTCATCTGGATTTTCCTGGTTCATATGAATGGTCTCTGCTTTGGAAGAATCATGTCTCCTTAATCTTTAAGTTTCCAGTATTATATAGATGGGTAGGTTGAAAGTTTCATTGTGAAACTTGGACAATGAAAAAGTTAGATAAGAGGAAAATTGACTAATTTGAACTGTGGTGTTGGCGGAGGCTCCTGTGCATTCCATGGACAGTGGGAGTCACAAACAAGCAGGTGCTGGAGCATATTAAACCAGATGAGTCCCTGGTTGGCAAGATAACAAAGCTGAGACTAATGTATTTTGGCCACGTTATGCAATCAAGCTCATTACAAAAAGATATAATGCTTGGAAAGCTCAGTGGCAAGAGAAAACCAGATCACCAAAGAGCCAGGTGGTTAGACTCCATCAAAGAGGATGCGGGCCAGAGGATAGTTCAGCTGAAAGAGGTGGCAAGGTATTGGAAAGTGTGGTGAGATTTGGCCCATAGGATTGCTTATAGTTGGACACGACTGAACAGCTGAACAAGGTATCAAGCTTTAACCATTTTGGAACTTTAACTGATGGAAGTTCTAGGAAGATGCAGTTTAGGTTATGGCAATATATGTACTTTATTGGTAGCTGTTTGAGAAAGATTTTCATTCTTGTGTATCTTCTTTTTGCCTTTATAGCTTCATTATGCTATTTCTATTTTTATATTTAAATTTTATATGTTAACATTTTAGGCAGTCAAACCTTATGTGTTATCTTCACTATCTTTTATATAATGCTCTCACCTTATTGTGAAGTTTGCATATTTTATCCTTTGTGAATGAGGAAATCAAACAACCGGAGAGCCAGTGTGGTATGGTGCTTGAGTGCAGGAATGAGACTCAGGCGATCTAGGTTCTAGTCCTTGCTAAGCCATGGAGCCAACTGGGTAACTTTGGGCCAGTCACAAACTCTCAGCCCAACTTACCTCATGTTGGGCTGTTTTCATGGGGATAAGACTGAGAAGAGGAAAATTAAGTAGGCTACTTTGAGCTCATTGTAAGAAAAAAGTGGGATACATACAAATAAATCTTTCAAATTTATCAGTATGGTCCTTTCTGGTTTCTACCACTAGCTCAGTAGAGCTCAAATTCTAATCTATCTCCAGAGTGTTCGGTAGTCACTGCTTCTTGCAACCCCTCACCTGGATTTGTGGGCAGCATCTGCCCTATCTTGCATCAAAGCAGCATCTGCTCTATGAAAGAAGTGGATAAGGTGAAGGAGGGAAGAGGAGGCATTGTTGTGTATACCCCATATTGGTAGGACCAGAGCAGATTTCCCTCACTGGTAGATGTTGCCTCTGAGCAGTAGTTGGTCAGTGTTAAACGGTTTGCCTGGGTCACTGGGGGCTCAGCATGCACACACACTGGTCCCAGGTAGTCTTGAAGGATGTTTGGTGGTTTTTTCCAGTGTTCTGGGACATGCTGTAACATTCACAGTTTTTTCTTGCAGGAAACCCAGAAGGTCTTTGAAAGCTGCTTGACGTGGTCTCAGTTTTTCTATAGAAATGAATGGGGCAAAAAGACAAGTGGGTACTCAATCTTGGACATCTTTCCTCAGCAGTAAATCCTACTGAATGCAAAATAACTTATTCCCATGCAGCTGTACATGCTGTAGCTTAAGGCCTTCCTGAGGGCAGTTACACCTTTAATTTAAGAAGTCACTTTGCTACAAGCGTTCTTCGTAGTGAACCATGGAGCTCACTGGGTGGATTTAATAAATCGTTGCTCACAGGGGTGTTTGAAAAGATAAATAAATGTAAAGTTTTATATACCAAGGACTTCAAAAAGAGGCATTCCCATAATTTCAAAGAAGTAGGCAAATGTTTGTAGCATGGAAATGCCCTAGGGGAGTATTTCCATAACTTAAATTTCAGAAGGGCTTGCCTATTTTACAAGCACTGATCCAGATGTTTTTTGATCTCAGATTTGTACAACATAATCCCAAATGTATTTACTTGGAAATAAGTTCTATTGATTCCAGTGCAGGTAAAGGTTTCCCCTTGACGTTACGTCCAGTTATGCCTGACTCTAGGGGGCGGTGTTCATCTCTGTTTCCTAGCCGAGGGAGCCAGCGTTTGTCCGCAGACAGTCTCCGTGGTCATGTGGCCAGCATGACTAAACACCAAAGTGCACAGAACGCTGTTACCTGTCCACCGAAGTGGTACCTTTTTATCTACTTGCATTTGCATGCTTTCGAACTGCAAGGTTGGCAGGAGCTGGGACGGAGCAACGGGAACTCACTCCGTTGTGCAGATTTGAACCGGCGACCTTTCGATCAACCAGCCCAGCAGCACTGCAGTTACTTCCAAGTAAAATACATTTATTTAGAAGCTAGTCTACTGGGAATTCCAGCCTTTATTCTTTTCTGTTAAGAAAAGTGCTAAATTAATGAGCATGCAGGTGGTTCTTCATTGTGAGATACACCATAAACATAACATAGGAAATTAAATGCTCAGTGATTTTATTATTCAAGTTAATGAACATTCCAGCATTCATATTATCATGGCTAATCTTAAGCACAATGGTGGTCCTCCTTAATGTATTTAAAGTACAAAATATGAATTATCAGTGATACTGACCTATACTTGATTTGAGATACAATATAAGATGCAATGTGAAAAAAATCCTAGAATATAAATTTACATCTATTTTATAATTCTGTACTGACATATATTTATGTCACTTCAAACACTTTGTACATCTATTAGTACTTTAAAAATAATACTGCTATGGTGCCAATTGGGTTGCCTTAACAAGCACTGGCAACTTCTCTCCGTGTTGGTTTCTTGGATTTCGTGTCTATCAAATTTAACCTGACAAAGCTCCTAGCCTGTGAGCTCCGAGAGCTGTAGTTCTGTGAAGGGGCTAGAAAACTTCAACATAACATACACAGACAAATACGTTCAACTACAATTGCCAGCATAGAGGAAGTCATGACTATGGCTTAAACATTGTTGAGCACAGGTCAATCAAGGTGTCTGTAAGCCCCAAACTCAGGAGTACAGGGGTTCTATGGAGAGTGGGAAGAGCAATGGAGATGATAGGCACCTCTTTGCTCACTTTGCAATTTTGCTAATGCCATTGCTAAATGGCTGTTTATGGGTATGCTATGGAGAGTAGGGCAATGCTGGAGATAATATAAACTTCTTCATTCTTCATGCTTTAGAGCAAACAGCTGTTTTCAGCCATCTAATGGGTACTTCAGAGGGGAAAGAAAGGAGGCTACAACTGCTGCATCAGGATACCATGTATCCTGACCACTCCAGTTTCCTTTCCAAACTGGAGTGCCCCCTTTATCACATCTCCAAGATAACTTTCCCAGCTTTGGAGAGCAACCAGCACAGTTCTTTCCATGCCAGCTGGGATGGGGAGAGGGAACAGCACTCTCTTCCGCAGCTCCAAGATTGGAGTGACAGAGCTGGGAATCCAGATAATCCTGTGGCATCTCAGGTGATGTCTAGAAACCATAGGGTCATTCCCTCCATGTGGGTGTGCTTTGACATGACAGAATCTCTTTCAACCCCAATGTCTATTCAGGGATTCAATATATCCATTTTTTTCAGCATTATGGAACCTACTTGCTGCCCTATATGATGAATGAGTTTGATTTGTTTGGAAGATATATTTTGCTAAGGGTAATACCAAGCTATGTTTACAGACATTTGTTAAGACAGGAAAAATTTGTTCAAGTATTTCCATTCCATTTTTTGTACATAGACTTGGTGTAGCATTAATAACAAATGGCAATATGCAAACAGTGACTTGTTACATTTTAACACTGACATTTGTGATGACTGCAAAATAGTCTGTATTATCTTGATAACCAGTTAGCAAATAGTTCAAGGAAGGACTGGTAATAAGAAATTATATACATTATATTACTGTTCATTAGGTAGTGCCATATTCTACCTTTACTGGTAACAATAGCTATATTTTGTTAGTGCAAGTAAGATTATATATACTGACATGCAACTAATTAATTTAGGGTACAATCCTATGCATATTTAGACAGATTTTATGATTCACAGCATTTTCTAGCCAGCCTGGCTGAAGAATGCTGGGAGTTGAAGGACTTTTTTCACATCTAAATACACATAGGATTACAACTTAGACTACACTGTAATGTAGACTAAAAATCAAGGAACAGCAAAACCTCTTTCATGTTTACTGTGCCCTTCCTTGGTCATGCACTTCTTGACCTGTAACCTCACTTCCCGTTTTTGAAACTGTTCAAAAGTATTTTTTATATATAATAGGGCAACTCTTATTCAAAGTAAAAAAGCCAAAGAGTCCACTAAATGGCACTGCTGCTCCATGTATGACCCTAATGTAGAGCTAGCACAAGCAATTCTAGTGTAAGACCAATAGCACATGCCTAAAGTACCACATCCACTAGAATGCTAGATAATACTATTTAACATTGCATTCTTGGGTTACAGTTTTGGCCTCCAGGTTTTTTTTGTGCTTGAGTTTGTGAAGAATGTTTTATAAGATGTTTAATAAGTAGTATGTCCCACTGATTTCTGTGTGGCTCACTTCACAGGGAGCAAATTCACATAACATGATGAGCCATAGTGGTTTCTTACCCAGGATGGTCCACCATGTTGTCTGAAACCTGTCATGGTATTTCAGCATAGTATGTTTGGGTTTTAGAAACCACAATAATTTCTAATTAACAATGTTCTGTGGTGCCAATGGTTCACCAAGATTTCTGTGGTCATCCAAACCTGGCATCATGGTTTCCATCATGGTATGCAGCTAGCACAGAGTGCCCTGGAAAGAGTGGCAGGTATAATAACTGCTCCAGCCAACCATCATGGGATTGAATTTCAGGTGTGGTGGGTGATGGGATACAGACCAACAGTGGGAGGACTGAGTGAGGAGAGTAGAAACCATGCTAGTGTAGAAACCACCTGATTGTTTGTTAGACACATGCACCAGGGAAACTATTCAGCATTATTTGTCATGACATGTGAATCTTTTCAATATGTATGCATGGTATTGTAGCCTTAGAAAATTATTACTCTTGTCTTTATGTAATGCACCAATATATTTTATCCAGGATATGAGATTTAGGGCAAACTACTAGTTTATATTCTGCAGACCATCTACACAGCTACAATTTAAGTGGGAATATCCAAGTATGGGGAAGGGGAACTGCTTTCTTCTGGGCCCCATAACCTCTTCTTTCACAGTTTAGATTTCCACTCTGTGCAGCACAATCCTGAACAATTTAGTCTGAAATAAGTCCCATTAAATTCAGTAATAGCTTCAGCTATGAGGTGGTATAGAAATGAAATAATTACTCCAAGTAAATGTGCATAGGAAATACAATGTTAATCTGTAATGAATAGCAAAGATTTAGGCAGATATTTATCCCAGTTTGCTGTGGATGCACCCTATTAATAAGCATAAAAAAACATGCATGATAGAAAACAGACTGAAATTCATTCATCCAGCTGTTGTTCTAATATATCCCTTTCTAATTATTATGTGGACATCACTGCTTAACCAGTAGGTTTTAAAGAAATGGGCTCACAAATGTTATTAATTTTTTCTAATAGCCCTGAACTTACTGAATTTTCCTTTATGCTGTTTTAGAGGAAAGGTGATTTGAAGTAATGGACATGCTACCTTAGTACAAGGTTAGCATATAAATGTATATGGTTTTCAGATTGACCTCGGTTCAGAGGGGAGTTCCCATTTCAGTGCAGCAATCTGGAAGTTAATAACTTCTAGTTGTATTAGAATTAATAAAATCTTTAGGCATATGACTTTCAAATTGTGAGTGTTGTGTAACTGTAAAAGGCATGAATATAAGCCATACAGTGAAAAATAAATAGGGAAGAACATGAAAGAAAAATGGAAAGATAGTAACCACAGCTGTGGTTAAGATTGGGGATGTCTTCCTGATGTTTTGGACTACACTTGCCAAAAGAAGTCGTGGTTTGCATTGGGTTGGATCTATACATAGTAAAGTTCAGAGTAAACCCATCAAATCAGTCCTCCATGAATTAAGTCTCATTTATTTTCAGGGTCTGGATACATGACCAAGTCTGGATGCAACCCATTGTTTTTACTGATAGCTTCAAATTCTATATTCAGAGTAACTGTGTGAAGAAGCAATCTATAAATGATGTTTACAAATGCTGACAGGAATTTTGTCTAATTACTCGTTAATAATGCTTAAATTGGAAACCTGCTTGTTACATACAATGAAAATGAACAATAGGAGCATTCGGTTCCAAGTCCAGGCCCCAGTCTATTTACAGCAGTTTTTCCAAACCTGATGTCCTCCAGGTGTTTTGGATTAGACACAAAGATTACTCCAACATTAGTTTAACTATTTAATGGTGGTTGTGATGTCTCAAAGCTAATTTGTGAGAAAGTGCATATTCTGAAAAGCCCTAATACATTTTAAATTAATAGCAATTTAGCAACACCATGCTATATTTTAAAATGAATTCTGAATTATTTTCTAATTGATAAAATATCTTTCTTGCAGCCCGTTCTTAGAATGCTTACTCAGAAGGAAGATCCTTGATTTAAATAGGATTAATCTCCAATTAAATATGTTTAGAATTAAAACCTTAGAGAGTAGACACTTGTACAAGTAGAATTATATTCCTCCCATTCCCGTCTGCTCCATAAAAATTGCATTGTACTCATATATAAAACTAATCTTCAAGGCTGCCTTTATATTGCCTCAGTGGGAACAGGAAAGCACTATGTAAAATTGTGTACTGATTTTGTTAAGGATGTATTAGAATTCCTATTTTATTGCTGCTGATGATGGTGGTGTTTTTGGCAGAGCAGCTTGAATTACAGCCTGATGCAGTATCTACTAGAAAATATTCTTATATAGCTTTCCATAACTTTTAGTTAGTAGACAAAGAAAATAAAATCTTTCCTTCATACTTACTTGCATAAGGATAAAGGGTCCTATCTTGGCCATCGCCTCTAGCAGGGATGCAAAACGTATAGTCAAATAATTTCTGGTGGCCCACCAGACTCTTGCCAGACATGAATATTTGCATATATGACTCCTTGCACAGTTCATTGCAGCCTGCAAGGCCAGAAAGGGTGTGTACCTTTTTGGGTCTATGGCTACCCAAGCCAAAGGTATCCTCCTGGTATGGCTACCAGGAGGATAAGATGATCAATATACAGGTAACAGCATTGAAATGACAGCCCAAATTAAAGCCTGTTATTCACCTCAATAGATATCACACCAGTAGTGGCTCTGAATATTCAAGTGAAACAAACTTCTTCATCCAGCATCTCTTTACTTTAGCCACTTTAAGTTGAGAAAAATAGTGGATAAAAAGAGATTCAGTAGTCCTACCAAAATAGTAGTAAGGGTTCCTTAATATCTAATGGAGGAATAAATACTGAATTAAGCCAAATTCCAGAAATCAATTTAAATCGATTATATCTTCATTCAGCCTATTTGTTCAATGATATATAAAGACCAACTTCCAACTTTTTGCCTCTGTTTTCTATGGGCAAAACTATGCCTATCAAAAGCAATTATGGATACCACAACACCATTCTTGATCACTAAGAATGATCACAATTTTGTCCTAAGACTGTGTTAAATGAAAAGTTATTCAGATTATATCATGCAGTTTATAAATGAATATAGAAACTGAGAACTATTACATTTGAACATTGTGGCCAGATTCCAAAGAGCTGCCCAGAATTCCACTAAGTGTTTTTGCACTGATCCAAAGAATTGTTTATAGCTGACCTTCAAAACTGTATCAATTGCTTCTGTGATAATTCCTTTCAGTATCAAAAGTAGATTGCCATGTGGTACAGAGGACTGGCATTAAGGGAGAAAACTAATCTAAATCCTTCTTTAGCTCACATTCTTTCTGATGCTCAATCCTTCAGAAAAATGAATTGAATTCCTTATACGAAAATTCAAAAAGAGGTGTTTTAGTGCATTATAACTATAGGTGTAATCTACCAAGCATTGCTTCTTCATGGGAATTAAATGAGAAGGATGTGAAAATCATGCTTGGTGGTCTGCATCTCTAATGCTTGGTTTCCTTCAAATTAAGTCAGATACATCTTCAAAACATGCTGTTGCTTATAACTCACGCTATCACATTGCTATTGAAGCCATGGATCCCTATATTTATTAAACTGAATCACCTGACAATAGAACTCAGTCAGGGCTCTTGGCATGGGTGAAACCTCTTCCCATTCAGACCTACTACTATGGTAGACTTGCACCTCATCAGTGATTTCGTCAGGCGCATAATCCCCACCAAGGATGTAAATTTTATCTTCTATTCCAACTGCTCCTGCATTAAAGCCGGCACATTCAAAAGAACCTTCCCCTTTCCAGACACATGTATCTGGACAAAAACTATAAACCTTATAGGTAGAAAGGTCACAGATGTACAATGTGCAGTTCACTGGAACAGCTTTGATTAAGGTTGCATGAAAGAACTGTCCAAATTCAGCAACCAGCTCAGACCACTGATCAGTTGCAGCATTGTATTTAAAGAAACAATCAAGAGATGGATTAAAGGCATCTGTAATTTCTACTTCAGAACCAAGTACATAAATTATACTCTGACATGCGCTTGCTTCTGGATAGTAAATGCCTCTTGGTAATGGACTAACAGATTTCCATTCTCCTGATAGAGGATTATATGCCTCCACATCCAAAAGACTTTTCATACCCTGAGATGCCCTTGTCTTTCCTCCTATTACAAACAGTTGATTTAGGGTCACAACAGATGTATGCATTGTCCTTGGCTTCTTCATAGCTGATACGGATGAGAAACTGTCATTTGCAGGACAGTAGCACCATGTTTGGTCAGTAGCGTTGTGAAATGTTTCAGCAATATGAAGTCTAATTGTCCGGAAACAGTTTCCTTCACATCCCCCAGTTATAAATATTTTTTCACCGTAACTAGATAAACTTGATCCTGGAAGGTCAATTATTTGTGTGTGTGTCAATTCTTTCCATTGATCAGTTTTAATGTTGTAACAAAATGTATGTCGATGTATTCCATTTTCTTCAGTTTTGTGAACCAGTATGTACTTCTCGGTTGTTGAAGGGCGAGCATCAGGAAACAACCCACTGGACATTTGTACACTCTTAATTGCCTCATTGATTATAACTAAGCAGCCAGTATCTTCAAGTAACTGTTCTTCAGAGTGCAAGATGTCCTGGAGTGTCTTCTCAGATAACTGATGTAGCCTTACCTTTTTCAGCAAGTAAGAAAGATGCTTCTTTCTTGTTTCCAAGTTATGCTTTGTCCACCAAAAGACAGCTTTCAACACAGACTCCTCATCTGGGACATTCAACTCATCAGTTTCTAGACATTTCTGCAATATCTCAAAATTCATTTCCAAGAAATCATTTGATTGGAGCAACAAGGAAAAATTGTGCTGTGCATACTTGAGCGTATGATCAAACAACTGAGTGGAGCCATAACTTTCAGAAATGGATAACAGTTGCAAACAATTGACAAGGTCAATGTTCTTAATCAGAAAGTCACTGCAAGCTTTTGAAAGAAGTGAAACTTGAAGAAATGACGACAGCTGAAAGAACATTTCTACATTGTCATTTGTTATCTCAGTTCTTCCAGTGTAGGCATAATCTAGAAAAGCCTTTACTGCCTTGGGTGACAAATTACTAATAGTAACACTCCCATCATCTCTTTCTTTCATGTTAACTTCAAACATGGCTCTGTAATTGAAATACAGAAGATGAACATAGCAGAGATCATCACCAAAATTATCAATAGGAAGACAGCAAAAATAAAACTTGAATAAAACAGCAAAAAATATAGAACTTGAATAAGGGATAAGGACACCATTCTCAATACATTTACTTTGGATAACATTTTGCATAATGGGCAGAGTGATCCCATGGTGCCTAAATAGTATCTAGAGGGCTGTAGCATCATTTGGATTTTCAGTTCCAGCCTTGGAACAGGGAATCTGCACTGAAAGCACCCTCCTCCCCCTCTCCAGGTATAACCATTCCAGCTGCTTCCCCAACGTTGTAAGAGCAAACTTAGAGAAGGGGTAAAGATGGTGTTCAACTGCTTTGCAGAGTAAGAGGAGTGCAGAAGGTAACAATCACTTCCACCCTTCTCTAGCCTTGCACAGAGTGTCCATAATCCTCCAAATTCAGGGTGTTACAGGCAGCTTAATTGGATTGTGCCTTCACCTGTTGAATGAAATTAATACAAAATATATAGTACAAATACCACATTAAAGAAATGGCAGCATTTCATCATAATGTTTTATCACTTCTAATTAATTATACTAAACATAGAGCTCATTCAACTCATGGCTGATGAAAAACTGTATATAAAATATTCAAAAACAATTGGATCAATAAGACAGAATCCAAAGAGCTCCTTCAGGCTTACCAAATCATGACCAGTGTAATGGTTGATTTATTTTTAAAAACTGACTCCATCCCTATGTCATATTAGAAAACAACTTATAGAACTATATATGTCAAAAGCTGTTTGTCCCATACCCTGTTCGAAAAAGCAGATCTCTTGGACTCTGAATTCTGTGTTCTATGGATTTAGGCTATAAAGGAGAGCAATACTAGTCCTGGTTCACCAGCATGTTTGCAGAACACATTCTCAGGTTCAGATTCCTGAGAACGGGTCAGCCCTGCCTGCTGGGTCACCAAATTCTGTGGCAGTAGTTTTTTTAACAACAAAGGGGGTAGGTGGAAAATTTAGCCCCATGAAAAGCTGAAAGGGTCAAATATAGCTTATTTCCAGGATATATTTGACCAATGTATGCATTCGCAAGAATACAGCCCCTGGGAATAGCTATGGGGAGGGGATGTCCCCAAAGCTCCTGCAGTTGTCCAGCCCTGCTGTAGATCCTTTAAATGCTTAAAAGTTCAGAGTGAGTAAGAGCAAATGGTGCACTTGCCCTTAATTCTCTCCTCCTCGCCCCTTTTATCTGTCATCTCCATTACTAGTCAGGATCAGACAAAGGATTCAAAGCAAATCAAAACATAGGATTTGAAGTACTGTGTTTTTTGTGCTGAAAAATGTTTGCATAGCAACATAAATACTCACTGAGCAACATATCTTCAAATGGTCACAGATGGGTAATTGAACTTAGTTTTGTGTGCTCCAATCCAGCCAGATTTGCCCATTAGTGTCGTTTTTCTTACACAAAGCTTATGCAGATACAGACAAGCATCTGGATAAGTGGATACAATCTTCATTCAGACCAACTGAATTGACCACAGGTGGCTTTTAAGGCAGATAGAAATGCATATCTCCATCTGGAATCATGAGTTACTACATACTGGAGTTGTGCACAATGAGATGGATTGGGACCCTTATAGCTAATATTAATTTAGGAACAGGTAGTTTTAAGACAGCTGTTGTTTCACAATTGAATGACTATACTGAAGTCTGGATATCTATATCACTATGTACTTGCATCTTACTTCTAAAGGTCAATATAAAATAAGAGTTCTACATTTTAAGTTAAACTAAAATTAAGTTAAACTGTCAATTAATTTTTTTAAAAAATCCATGGGCATGAAAGCCACATAAGTAAGCTTACCTGAAAAAGTCACTACATGCTGCTAGTACACAACGGTGACATGGGATTGCTTCATCTTTCACAACTATTTTAAAGTCAAAAAAGATATTTTGATCTCTGAAGTTTTGTAGCACACTTAAGATTTGCTGGCCATGGCCTTCAGCCACTAGGGAGCTAATTTTCTTCTCATGTGCTGAAATTCCATTGCAAGTTGTAGTGCTAATGGAATCATATCGGTTGTCCATAATTTCTTCTCTATTCTTCTTGCTGGAGAAGATAATATGTTAAAAGTTATTGATACTGTAACACAAATGTCTTCAACACAAATTAATGGGAGTGATAAGTGGTATGCAGAAGTGTTGGATGCAACTTGTGTTCCCAGACCAGGAGTGTGCCATGTCTTAACTAAATGAAAACACAGGGATGGATATTCCCTTCCAAGTGGTCAGAATCCTACTGGAAACGTGCTTCTGCATATGCTTTCCGATCCAACATTATTGAAAGCAAAACCAGAACAAAATGGAAACTAATGCTCAAAAATAATACCATTTGGATAATTAATTCAGTCACTTGTTTAGATAGTCACAAGACCTGGCATTTATTAATAATACAGGTTAGGATTACTTTACAGGACACCAGCTTGAAAGTTCTTTGTGCTTCCTGGAATCAGCATGAAATACAGAAATTAACAGATGCCTACAGAGATGGGAGAACTTCCTGCTTAATTACACCAGCTCATGTTGTTAGAGTAATCTGAAGAGAAAAATGTTTTGCATTTGCTCATGAAACTAACAATCAAGAGTGAATAGTAAAACTTAAAAAGAGAATAGAATAAATAAGGGCTCAATCCTGTGTAAGCTTAAATAGAAAGGGGCCTACAATTCCCAGCATGCTTCAGTCAGCATAACTTACTCCCACATTACTGACCATGCGATTTCATCTTTAAAGTATTTATTACATGGCTGAAGTCCCGCATTTTCTTCAACTGTCCCACTGATTTTTTTATTAAGTTTTATTTGAATTATAATCCTAAAAAACAGCAAACTACAAACAACATCCATCATCAAAAACATTGAGCCCACTGGGTCAGCCCCCACACCCTTCTTTTTCCATTTATAATAACTATAAAAACATGTAGATCTATGCAAAGTCCCGTTTCGCTAGCCAATAATAAAAAGAGTCCCAAGTTTGATAGAAGTCAATATCTTCCTTCTCCTTCAATGATAAAGTCAAACTATCTATTTCTGCACAGTCCAGGGTGTTTTTTTTTTTTGTAAGAATTCATCAATGGGTAATTCTTCATTTTTCCAGTACTGAGCGAATGCAGTAATCGCCGCAGTGATTACATGTAAAATCGAATACATTTCTTGTTTACTAATATCCTCCGGTATAGTAACTGTCCCACTGAATTTTTAACATTCAAATAGGATTTTTGATGTAAATAATATTCTTAATAAAATGCTTTTTGAGGAAAAGTTTATCTAAAGATAGTTTTCTGTTTAAGATACATTATAGTCCAAAGGTTATAATGGAATAAAGATTCATTTTTAATTATGTAGCATGAAGCTATATATTCATGTTCAAATTTTTCAGTAAATGAATTCTATTAATCCATTCACAATGTCAATTCTAGAGGTTTCTATAAGGTTATTGGGCAATGTTACTATTTAGAAGGTATTATCACAGATACTTGTACTTGTTTACAATAATCAGAACTGTGAATGTGTCTACCGAGATCACATGACTCTTCTTCACAGCAAAAACTTTATAAAATAAACATAGGGCATTGAAAGACCTTAATCCCATTATTCCTTTGCAAATCTATGTACACAGAATCTACTCCTTACCACTTAAGTGCTAAATTTCTACAAATTCAATTGCTGGGAGTAGAATAGATCTGCACAGGAAGCTAAGTGCGATGAGGAAGGGGCAAGCAATAAAAACGAAAGTGAAACCTTTGGAGCAGAATACTCCAAAAGTCTTTAGATCTTTTTAAGTATAGCCCAAGGTTGATCATATTATTTTTCCCTGGAAGAGAAAACTGATAATGGCGGCAGGTCATAAATTTGTGAATATTTAATGAAGTTCCTCAACCTACGACATGCATAGGCATGCATACATGCAAATTATGTAGAAAACCATTATTTAAATGCTGACTAGTGATTTAAATCATTATTTAAATCATGATTTGATTTAAAACAAATCCACTCTGCATTTTACTATGTGACTATTTAATCTGCCACTTGACTGTACACCTTAAAATGGTAAGGGGATTTCACAGTATCAGAGAAGCCACCAGAAGGCCAGATTCTCTCACTATGCTGGTCTCCTAGCAGCATCACCCAAGATGGATGGGTCAGAGCAGAGACACCAGACTAAGATGCTTCCACCCTCCTCAGGAGGAACAGTCCCATCGGCAGGAGAATGGATATCTCTAATGGTGACAGGGTCAAAGAAATGACTGAAGGACACCGGTGGTGGTTGAAGGCAACACTGGCAGAGGATCACTCACAGACAATGGCAGGGAAGCGCCAGCTAACTCTGGTTAGCTTCAACTAATTCTGCTACAGAGAGGGCGATGATAAACCACTCATGAATTTTCTTACCTTGAAAAGCCTCTGGTGAAACAAGAGATAGTGCCAGAAGAGGAGGCTCCCAGGCTGGAAGACACTCAGCTACTAGGGAAGAGCAAAGAACAGGTATTAATAGCACGGTCACTAATGACACAACTAAATCAAAGCTGAAATGAAGTCTAGTAGCTGAAATGCAGAGGTGAGAGGAAAGTCTGATGCTGCACAATGCACACAGTTTGAAACACAGAACATGAAAAGCATGAATCAAGGCAAACTGGAAACCATAAAGCAAGAAATTGAATGGTTAACCATTGCAGTATGTGCTGTGAGCAAATTGAAGTGGACTAGAGTGGGGCATTTTCATTTCCAGGGAGCCTTTGGGTTGATGGGTGGGGTAGAAACATAATGAATAAATAAATTTTCAGGTCAGGCAAATACAGAGTGCTCTACCCCTGAAATTACAAACTGAGAAGAAATGGAATGGCTGTAGTACTCAGGCAAGCTGTAGTGCAGGAAGGAAGGGGTTATAATGCCAGGTGTGGCTAAGTCATATTAATCAGAATTTGCAACAAAAAAAACCCTGTCAACATATAACCATTCAAATCTATGCTCCAACAACAAATGTGAAAGAAAAACTTTTCAAGAAACTGAAGTAGAAGATGGAAAAGCTATATTTTCCCTGAGATAACAAGAACAGGAGCAGGCTGCAATCAGATTAAACTAATAGAAGCATAGTGCCGAAATACAATTTAAAGAACATTCCTGAGGAATTTAAAGTCCTCATAAAGTACAAATTCGTATTACACGAGCAAGAACTGTGGACTCAGCAGAAACCATGCCATGTTGGGTTCACCCCATCTTTTTCTTGTCAAATGAAAGCTGTTGGAACAATTATTTGCCCCAGAGAAAGATAAAAAAACGATTCCTCTTTGTGATTCCAAAAGGCCTCATAGCTAGTGCCCTAAAAGTACAATATTTTGTGCAATTACTTGGAAGTAAACCCTACTGACTAAGTGAATTGCATTTCTAAGTAAATTTACAGATGGTCTGTGTGTCTATTTACAATTGCCATTTATTTATTTTCAAATTTATATTCCACTCAATAGCCTGACAGGACTCTCTAAGCAGCTAATAATATCGACATACAAGCCAACATTCTAAGTACAAGTACAGGGGGAATGGGAGAGGAATCTGCTAGAGCAGAGTGAGCACTTATAAACAGGTATTAAAATAAGGTCTTGAAACATCTGTGAAAGAGGATGCTTTTTGCCTGGCACGGAAATGAAAGCAGAGACAGTGCCAGGTGGACCTCTCTAGGAAGCCAATTCCAAAGGTTGGGATCAGCCACCAGGAAGGCCCTTCTTCTAAATGCCATCCCTTTTACTTTCTTTAAGGATGGGTTACAGAAGGGCCTCATTCCCAGACCTCAATGGGTGGGTAGTAGTGTATTGGAAAAGGCAGTCCTTCAAGTAACCAGGTTCCAAGCTGTTTAAGGCTTTGCATGTTAAAAAAAGTACTTTAAATTGGGCCTGAGCTTCAACCGCCAAACTGTGTAATTTATACAGAATAGGAGTTATATAGATATGAGAACTAACACCCAACACCAGACACTCAGCCTTATTTTGGACCAGTTGAAGTCTCCAGACCCTGTTCAAAGGCAGCCCTGTGTAGAGCACATTACAGTAATTTAATAAGGAGGTTATGAGCGCATGAGTTATCATGGTCAAGCTATATCCAGATAAGGCCTTAGTTGTCATATTTGTCACAGTTAGAAAAAGGCACTCCTGGCCATTGAGTCCACCAAGACTCCAGTGAGTGCCCAGGAGCACGCCCAAGTTGCAGACCCTGTCCTTTAGGAGAAATGTGACCCATTCAAGACAGGATAAGGGCCATCTAATCTGTAGGACAGATCATTAACCAACAGCACTTCTGTCTTGCATGGACTGAGTTTCCATTTATTGGCCTTCACCCAGTCCATTATCAAACTCGGACAATGACTCAGCATGGAGATTGGCTTGCCTGAATTCAATGGAAATAAGAAGTAGAGCTGAGTATCATTCTCACACTGATACTTCAGCCCAAACCTCCTGATGACCTCTCCCAGCAGCTTCATGTAGAAGTTGAAGAATACTATAGCGCCTAGTGGAACTATCCTCCAACACCATCTCCTGGACATGATCAGCCAGGAAGGAGTGGAACCTCTGGAAAGCACTGCTCCTGAGTCCCATCTCAGTCCCAGAGGAAACCTTGGTCAGTAGTGTCAAAAGCCTAGGTGCTATGCCTAAATAGCATTGTCAGGCTTCCACTCACAGTTAGTACAAGACAATGGTAAATACAAGAAGCAAAGTAACTGAAATCTAGTTATTGGTGGTATCACTGAGCTTGAATTATCTTGAATTTTCAGTGTAGCATTCCATTGTACATAAGAAATAAAGAAACCTTTAGCCCAGGGATACAGAATCCACTTTGCTTTTGGTTTGTTCTGTTTGTCTTTTAATAACCCGCCGGATGTGGCCTGGGGCAGGGCTGGATCTGAGCTCCCTCTCCTCCCTCCCTGGAACACCTGCTGCATGCCAGACCTGAGGTGCACTGCCGAGCCGGAGGCCAGCAGATGCCGCTCCCGCGGCCACCGCTGGGCCACCCTGGGGACGGAGGACACCAGGGCCACCACCGACGTTGCAGAGGAGGGCGCCGCCATCTTGCCGCCTGGTGGGTTTCCGAGACCCTCTCTGCTCCCCCCCCGCCAGCGTCAGTGAGAGCAACGCCAGATTGGGGGTGGGGCACGCGGGCAGGCGCTGGCTTAACCCACCGGATTGGGGCCGGCGGCCAAAGGGCGGTCGCCACCGTTTGTGGCCGTTCGTGGCTGTGTGGGGCTGGGCTGGCGGGGGGCTAGGTCGGTGGGTGGAAGACGGGGAGTTTTATACTGTTTTAAAGTTTTATTGTATTTTAATTTGTTTTTATGGAGTCGTCCCTGGCCATGTCGACGGTTGAGTTACCTGGGGAGTGCGATGGCGCTGCCATTGGGGTGGTCACGGGCAAGGGACGTTACAGCGTAGAAGAAGGAGGGACAGATGGCTAACACCTGTCCTTCTGGTTTTACCCCCAGCCAGAGGATTCCAGGTAGTCTTGTCAACCGCCCCTTGGGCCTGACGGTGCTGCTGCTCAATGCCAGGTCGGTCAACAATAAATCTTCCCTCATCCATGACTTGAGTGTGGATGAGGGGGCCGACCTGGCTTGCATAACAGAGACCTGGGTGGGGGGGGGGGGGGGGATGTCGCCCTCTCTCAAATGTGCCCGCCCGGGTATCTGGTTCAGCACTGTCCACGCCTGGAGGGGAGGGGGGGTTGCTTTGGTTTACCAAGCCTCCATCTCCCTCATGGGACTTCCAGTCCCTTCGAGGCCAGGACTGAAGTGCCTCTACTTGGTGTTGGGCAACCGAGACAGATTGGAGATTCTGTTGGTGTACTGTGCACCCTTCTGCCCAACAATCTCCCTGCCTGAGCTGACGGAGATCATCTCAGACCTGGTGTTGAGGACCCCCAGGATGTTGGTCCTGGGGGACTTCAGTCACATGTCACAGGCCCAACCCATGAACGCGGACACACTCTGGACCTGGTTTTCTCGACGGGGCAGGAAGAGGGTCATCTGAGGGTAAGGAATTTATGTCTGACACCCCTGTCATGGTCAGATCACTTCCTCGTGAGGTTTGTGCTCGAGAGCGGCCTCTCCCTCTGCAAGGGTGCTGACCTGATTGTGTGGGTCTGCCCCCGGAACCTGATGGATCCGGACGGATTCCTGAAGGCCCTGGGGGAGTTTCCGGCTGACAAGTCGGGTGCTCCTGTTGAGGCTCTGGTCGAACTATGGAATGGGGAGATGACTAGGGCTGTTGACAAGATCGCTCCTAAGCGTCCTCTCCCACCAGGCAGAGCCCACTCTTCCCCTCGGTATACACCTGAATTGCGGGTGATGAAGCAGGCCGGGAGACGGCTAGAGCGTAGGTGGAGGAGATCACGGGATGAATCTGACAGAACACACTTAAGAGCCCATTATCGGGCCTATGCTGTGACGGTGAGGGCGGCGAAAAAGAAATTCTTCTCTGTTTCCATTGCCTCCTCAAAATGCCGTCCGGCGGAGCTTTTTCGGGTGGTACAAGGGCTGGTCCGTCCTGGCCCTAAGAAAGATCTGGTTCCACCCTCGAAGGCCCGCTGTGACAACTTTGCCAAGCATTTCAGGGAAAAAATTGCTCAGATTTGTCACGAGCTAGACTCTACTAGTGATTCAGTGGCTTCTGGGGAGATACCAATGTCGCCGTCTGGTCCAAAATTAATGGATGAATTTCAGTTATTGCGGCCTGATGATGTGGACAAGGTGCTTCGACAAGTACGTCCCAGCACTTGCCTATTGGACCCTGAACAACGCCAAGCACGGGACTGGGACCTGGATCTTGGAAGTGGTTAATGCTTCTCTGAGGGTGGGTCGGGTACCTGCCCCTTTAAAGGAGGTGGTAGTCTGACCAGTCCTGAAGAAAGCGTCACTGGATCCAGAGATGGCCACTGATTATAGACCAGTAGCCAACATCCCGTTTCTGGGCAAGGTGTTGGAGTGGGCGGTGGCGGGATAACTCCAAGCACTCTTGGATGAAACTGATTACCTGGACCCATTTCAGTCCGGCTTCAGACCCGGGTATGGTACTGAATCTGCCTTGGTCGCCCTGTACGATGACCTGTGCAGGGAGAAGGACAGGGGGAGTGCGTCCCTGTTGGTTCTCCTGGACCTCTCAGCGGCTTTCGATACCATCGACCATGGTATCCTTCTGGATAGGCTGGAGGGATTGGGGGTCGGAGGCACTGCTTTGCAGCGGTTCCGCTCCTATCTCAATGGCCGATTCCAGAAGGTGGTGCTGGGGGACTATGGCTCTGCGCCATGGCAGCTATGCCATGGAGTACTGCAGGGATCCATTTTGTACCCTTTGCTGTTTAACGTCTACATGAAACCTCTGGGAGGGGTCATCAGGAGGTGTGGGCTGCGGAATCATCAGTACGCTGATGATACCCAGCTCTACCTCTCGTTCTCCACCAATCCAGGTGAGGCAGTGGCTGTGCTGAACCGGTGCCTGGCCGAGGTAATGGGCTGGAAGAGGGCCAATAAACTGAAGCTCAATCCAGACAAGATGGAGGTCCTGTTGGTGGGTGGCTCGGGCCTCAGGATGGGGGACTTGGGTCTTATCCTAAATGGGGTTGCATTCACTCTGAGGGACAGGGTTCGCAGCTTGGGAGTGCTCCTCGACCCTGAGCTGTCTTTAGAAGCTCAGGTGACGGCGGTAGCGAGGAGCGCTTTCCTTCAGCTTCGGCTGATCCATCAGCTGCGCCCCTACCTGGAGAACGACTGCCTGGCGACAGTGACACACGCGTTGGTGACTTCCCGACTTAACGCGCTCTACGTGGGGCTGCCCTTGAAGACAATCCAGATACTTCAATTGGTTCAACTTAATTTATACTGTTAAATTATATTGTTTTATTTTATGTTATTTATTTATGATTGTGAGCCGCCCCGAGGCTTCGGCGAATGGGGCAGCATAGAAGTTCCCTAAATAAATAATAGAAACCCAAGCCGCAGCATCCAAAGACTGGTGCAGTGGAGCAGGACATTTAGTCTTGTTTACTCAAAACCTCCCTAAGTTCACCAAGTTGATTTAGGCTGAGTGTGTGAGTGTGTGTGTAGGGCGGGGGGGGGGGGCAGTTCATTCTGTTACAGTTAATGTCCGACAATCAGCAATCATTGGAAATCTTTGTAAAACAGCCAAAGATCTACCAACAGGTCCAAGATCTAGCTTCTGTTCCCCTCTTTAGACTAGCCTTCTCCAACCTGGTGTTCTCCAAAGTTCTGGACTGAAGCTCTCAGAATTCCTGACCGTTAGCCTTGCTGATTGAGGCTGATGGGAGTTGAAGTCTAAAACTTTTGCAGGACACCCTGTTGGAGTAGGATCCTCTAACTGTACTCTCTCACACCCCCTTAATCCCCTTTTAATCCACGCCCAAAAGACGCATCCGATGACAAGTAAGGGCACACGCTCTGTAGCGGCTTCGATCGTCTCTGTGCGCGTGTGTACACAACCTCGCGCCTGCTCAGTACCAGCACTGATGTTCGGCACGAAGGGCTTGTTCTCCTTCTCGGATAACCCGTTCTCTTCCTCGGACAACCCTGTTCGGGAGGGAGAAATCTTCGAAGCCCGCAGCACCCTAGGAGTTTGACATCCCTCAAAAGACACTGGTGGCCGAAGAGGCCTCCCCGTCCCTACCATTTTTCCCCGCCGCGCCGTCACCTACCCAGCTGCATCCACCGCAGGAGCGTCGTGATCGGATGTCACATCCGCTACACAAAATCCAAGGCTGCTCTTCCATTGGCCTTCCTTTCTGTCAGTCCAAGGAATACTGCGCTATGAATGGTGCGAGCGTGTGACAATAGATTATTAAAGCCCGCCCCCTTGTAACGGCAACTGGATGATGCTGTCGCAAGGACTGCTCTCCCAAGAGTCACAAGCATAATAAAACGGGAAGGACACTTCAGGTTATCAGCTGCATGATGGATAAGAGAGTGGCGGCAAAGCAAAGGAAAAGCGATAGTACAGGAGCGCCATAGAGATGTTGGGAGAGCGTGTTAATCATTGCCCGGATGAGGTGGCAGTAAAATAAAACTTGGAGTGGTACTTGTAGGCTCTCAGATTTTCACCTTTCTCTCTCTATGTACTCTTCAGAGGGTTATCTTCGGCGCTGATTGGTCTGTTTGGCTTTACACGTGAGCTGCACTGGGCTCTCGATTGGTCGTTGCGTTTCGTCTCTCCGCCCCCTCGCTCTTCTTTCCGAACCCTCGGCGAGAGGATCCCGGGCAAGTGTAGCGAGCGGATGGGGGGCCGCGGTCTCACGCAGCGGGAGTGGGCGACGCGTTGGCGACGCGCGCCTCCTCTTGCAAGGGGCAGCGGCTTGCCTCTTGCGGCGGCGGTGTGGCTTTGCAGGGGGGCGGGGGGCTGAACTGCACCTTTCCTCGGAAGCCAGCCTCGCCGATTTAATGGGCTTACTTCCGAGTAAGTGTGAGTAGGCTTATTGCAGCCCCGGAGGGTTGGTTTCAGGCGTGTAGCTCAGCGTTCCCCTCGATTTGACAAACCCAGCAGTGGGCAACTTCCTTAGCTTTTTAAAAATTATAGGCTATATTTTTGTACAATAAAAATTCTAAAATGATAACAGCAGTTCTTAGAAGGACCTTTACTACCGCTAGAAGGCGTCATGTCCTGCTAGTTTGCAATTTCAGGAAACCACCTGACACAAGTGCCAACTAAATACATAGGTTTAAGTATCTTAGCATAAACCTTTATATGCATATGCAACTTAGGCATGTTGCCGCGTGCCTTCCCTAAGTGATGCTAAGAACACGTTTTGGGAAAAGAATCAGCAGTATCTGGGGTGGCACTGAGGTCTGGTCCTTGGGAGGAGGAGAGTTTGGAGATATGCCTGCAAATTTGAAGCTTTTATGCAAATATCCCCAGTGATTCTTACAAGGTAGTGCTGATAGATCCCATGTGACAAAAACAGAGCTATCTCTATATGTTCAATTTGTATCTTGGTTTTTCCTTCAAGGACTTCAAGCTGGTGTATGTGCTTTTAATACATTTGACATTCATAACAGCCCTTTGAGAGAGGGGGCAACACTGAAGAATCATCCAGTGTCAACTGGGATTTAAACAGCTCAGCCGTTTAAACTGCATGCCTGTGTATCCTTCACATCCCCACTATCTGCACATACATATATATGTTCTCACGTCTTGGACATTCCTTGGATCGTCTTGCTATGGAGACCGTACGTTGGGCATTTTCCTATAGTGCCTGGGTCCCTTGCCGTGAGGATTGGCTGCTGGCCATGCGTCTTGTACAGCCTGAAGAGAAAGAGCGTATCGAACAGTTTGTGTTCTGCCGTGATGCCAAGGCTGCTATGGTATATATTTATGAACTCAGTGAAATATGTCCTTGCTGAGTAATGCTTACCTTGCCTGACCTTGCCTGCCAGAGGTTCTAGCAGGTGGCAGGTCAGGGATGGAGAGCCCCGGTCCTAAACCAGGGTTCTTCGGGATGGCTGAGGCCTCCCCTTGGAATCCTTGCTACTCGCTCTGATCTCGTGGAACTTGCTGGTGAGGAGGTGGCACTGGGGGTTCTGCCAGGGCTGGGAAGAGTGACAGCTCTTCCTAGTGTTGGCCAAGTTTTCCTTTGCATACCTCTTGCTGTCCCAGTTGGTAAGCTGCACTGAGCTAGCAGAATTTGGCTCAATGACCTCCCTGCAATTTCCGGCTGTGCCCAGCCTTTTGCATGAATAACTGCCAGGCCAAATGCTCTCAGCGCCAAATTTCAGCCCTTCCTTTAGCTGTATTTGAGGGAAATGTGAGAGGCTAGTGTCTCCCTCGACCAGCTCACACCAACAACCACCTTGTGGCTTCTCCCCTCCAGATCTGCCCCATGACCCTTTCATCCCACTTGTGCATTATCTAAATGGCATGAAAGAATTACACCACAGGGAGGGTGGAGAGAAGGAGCAGTTGGGCTTTTGTTTTTAGTAGTACCCATGCAAGCTTTACAGCATCTGGCCAGCATTTTAAAATAGGTAACATGTAAATCAGGTTGGGTCATTGTAGAACTTGTGAAGTATTCTAATCGTGCCTGTAATGAGCTGTGAAATGGAATTTCTGTATGCTACTTAAGAAATAGTGTCTAAATTTCCTGTAAAACTATGGGTGGCTCTGATGCTCGGCAAATAATATATGAGCACAACAACTTTAGTATTTTCTTAATCATAAAAATACAGAAACTGCAAGCCGATCATTCATTTGATAAATATCATTAAATCTCACTTACAGATCTGCTGCTAAATCACGGAGCACTGTGCATACGGAGATAAATCATCATTATATTTTTCATTCCAAAACATAATAAAACCCATTTGTTCCCTGACAAACTGAGCATCAGATATTTGCTTCTCTCATTCTTTTAGTGCCTCCCTTTCATTATGAATGCCGTACCTGTATTTTAACTCAACTAAGAAAAAATCGGTTTGGCGTCTTCTTTAGAGTGCTGAGTTGGGTATGAGAGAGCTGCGTTCAAATCTCCACCTAGCCCAGAAGTTCACTGTGTGATCTTCACTTGTTTACTCAGCCTAACCTACCTCACGAGTTTGTTGTAAAGGTAGAATGGGGGATGCCTGTATACACGGTCCAGAGTTCTTCTAAGGAAAGATGAGATATAAAAACATAAGAAAGATAAGCAAAGAAACATAGATAACCTTTATCCAGATTGTGTGTTTGATTTGGTTTAAAAATGTAGATTTACTCCATAATGGGCATTTTAAAGGCAAATACTGTTTGAATTATTTGCTTTTCTCACAAGGACATTTACTTACATGTAAGACGTGAGCAGTTACCCACTGTGTGTATGTTTGTTTTGTTTCACAGGCCGGTCGACTGCTGATAAGGAAAGTAATTGCAGAAAAACTGAACATTCCTTGGAACAAAATCCAGCTGCATAGAACTTCAAAAGGAAAACCTTTTCTTGCAAATGACTTAAGCCACTCGCAATCCAGTTTCAGCTTTAATGTGTCTCATCATGGGAATTACTCTGTTCTTGCTGCTGAGTCTGACTGTCAAGTTGGCATTGATATTATGAAGACCAGCTTACCAGGTGATGCATTCCAATGGCTAACACATCTGTGCAAAGTGCTAGAAATGGGCAGCCCTTTTCCTTGATTCACCTCTGTATTATACACTCTAAGGCAGGAGTGGGAGCATGTGACCTTCCAGATGTTACTGGACCAAAGCACCAATCATCCCCCATCACTGACTGTGTCTAGAACTGATGGGAGTTGTTGGCTAACACCATCTGGAGGGCAATACATTCCCCCACATTCCTCTAAGGCTGAGCTGCTCAAATTTTAATAAAACACAGAGCAGACAATGAATAGGCAGACCCGCAGAAACATGGCACCGGGAATGGTCTGGAAGAATGAGTAGGAGAGGAATAGTATAGTATAGTGGTTAGAATGTTGGACTAGGGACCTGGGAGATTCAGATTCTAGTCTCCACTTGGTCGCAAAGCTCACTGGGTGAGTTTAGGCCAATCACAGACTCTTGGCCTAAAGTGGTGGTGGTGTTGTGAGGATGACTGAGAGGAGAAGGTTTCTGTAAACCACCTTGGGTTTTTTGAAGGAAAAAAAGGCAGAGTATAAACATAAATAAGTAAAATGAACTAATAAGGGAGATCCTGAGGGGAAGAAAGCAAACTGGAAGTAGGATGGGCAGAGAATAGAGGTTTGTTGATGTTATTTGCCATCAGGTCATCTCCAACTTACAGCAACTGTATGTATGAAAGCTTTCAAAAATGCCCTATTCATGACAGTGCTTGTAAATTCCAGGGTGTGGCTTCTGTTAGAGAGTCAGTCCACCTTCTATTTGATCTTCCTCTTCTTCTGTCTTCGATTGCCCTTAGCATGATTTTCTTCTCCAGTGAGTCTTGCCTTCTTATGATGTAACTGAAATGTGACAACTTCAGTTTGCTTCCAGGGAAGGTTTTAGCTTGAAGTGTTCTTCAACAGGACCTACCTGATTCAATTTTATTCCTGTCAGCATTTTTGACTGTCTAGCTTTCCAGTAGTGATCAGACAAGTACCTATGTGGATAATCATGACCTTGCTTCTCAGTGAAAAGTGCTTCCACTTGATTATCTTTCCTAGTTTCTTCTTTTTGGGACATCAGATTTTATAGTTCAACTAACATGCGTTCTTCTCTTTTTTCATTTTGCATGAATCAGTCTCCCTAGTGCAACATGAGACTGATTAAAAGGGAGAATAAGGAGTTCAAATCCCTTCTCAGCTGTGTAGCTCTCTGGGTGTCCCTGGGGTACTTTGAGTTATCGTGGTGTGGTGAGTAAATTATTAGTTTTTGGACTGAGGAGACCTGGTCCCTGGTGAGCCATTAAGGGTGGAATCCTTGGGCAGTGGCTGCAAGACCCCAAAACTGCTGGCTAGCCTTCCTCCAATGTTTGGAGGAGATCCTCATTTTCTTTTCCTTCTACCCTGTGTTTTCTATCAGAAAACAGCTCTTTTGTCCATCTTTCTGCAATATCTCAGAGGGGGAGAGAATGAGGTTGGAAAGTGTCAAGATTGTTCATATCCTGGCCTCTCCAGTCTCTTCCACTTCCTTTTCCCAAAATACACCTTTCTTCCCATCTCAGAGGTTGCTTTCCTGACTTCAGACAGCTGCAGGGGGAAGGGGATGGAGCTCCAATTCCCAGTTCCAAGGTCAGACTGCTGTTTCCAGCAATCCAGGAATCCAAACTATCTTATGGCCACCCTCGAATAGCATCCAGGTGCATAGGATCATACCTTATGCTTTCTGAGACTATGGACCAGCCAATAAACTCAACCAGTCTCCCTGGAGCATTCTGCAGTGCAGGGATAAAACAGAGGTGCAATCAACATGCCACTTTTACATTCTTGGAGAAACACAGGATTTCAGTGCAATACAGTTTTTAAAACAAAGCACTCAAATGGAAGAAGCTTTGGAATAAATACAGGAAGGACACACCAGTATTTTTCTTTATCATAAGACTGGCCACAGAGTGGTGCTATTGCTCTGTGAAAGGCTTCTAATCAGATTTCAAAATACTAAACCTTCATAGATAGCCAACTACAAAATTTACCGTAGACATTGAAAAGGGGCCATTTTATTTTAGTAAGTAAAGTCAGGAACTGTTACTGTCTACACTGCATGGTAGACTTAAATATTTTCATTCTCTCTTCCTTAAAATAATCTACAGTTCTCTTTACATTTCTATACCACCTGTAGCTGAAGCTGCTTGAGCAGTTCACAATAGGAAATAAAAGCAATAAAATACAATACATAAAACAACATTTCAAACACTTAAAAATTATTTAATTTGTGGGTTTTTTTGTAAGCTGTCCAGAGACTTTTAGTACTGGGATGGCATATAAAAACTTTAAATAAATAAAATAAAATAACATTAAAATACAATAAAATACAGTAAAAAGACCCAGCCAAAAAGAAAGGTAAACTCAGATAAACTCATGAGGCCCCTGGATGACCAGGGTGATCTTAAAGATTTGACATACTGTAAATAGAGGAATAGAGAGACCTCCAACTGAGAATTCTCTGCAGCTTCATTACACTACAGCTTCCGGAGTATTTTTTGAGTCAAGCCATGATAGTCATAAACAAATAGATCTGCCCTTCGGGTCGGACCACTTCCTTATTTGGAGCTTGGGATTGCATCTAAGATTATATTCTTTTTTCTGTTCTTTTAGTTTTTTGCAATTATCTGTAACGTTGTTAGCAAAGACGGATCTATTTTAGGCGTGGATATTTATGTCAGGAATTAGCCTTTGTGTAAAATAGGCAAGGCAGGAAAGAGTGACTTATAGCCAGAGGTGGCTTTGCATTAGCAGCAGGATCTTCTTTTTGTACAAGGCAAGCCATTCCATTTCCATCCACCCCCTGTACCTACGTTAGCCCTCTGTGTGATACTCGATACAGTTCTGTATGGTTCCCCAACCTTTTTGGAGAAGCTGCAGTAAGTAAGGAAGACCGGCTACAGGAGGTTGCCAGATTCTGAGCAAATGGAAATACTTTCCACTACCACAGGTCTCCACAGACTGGGATATTTTAGAGCACAACTTCCAGCATTCCAGACCACTGGCAGTACTGGCTGGGACTGGAAAAGCTGAAATCCAGGATATCTGGAAGGCAGGCTGAGGAAGGCTATGTGAAGGCATGAGTGACTGAGGCCAAGTCCAGTCAGTCGTACCCTTGTCCACATAATTTTTGTGCTACCCAAAAACAGAAGCATTTAACAAGCCAGACAAGAGGTCAGATTGGTTCATCACAACACGTTGATCAGCTGCATTTGGGGCCAATAAAGTTTTGAAACTGTCCTCCAGGGGACCCTGCTAAGGTGCTTTATTGTCATCTGGAAGGGACTAGGTCATGAACAATTGGGCCTGGCTTCCATCACTTATTTTTATTTATTTATAAAATGTATATACCACTCTGTATTCCAGTGTGCTAATTTCAGAACTGAGTACTGTAAAAGATAAAGCAAATCATAAAACAACATCTTAAAAGCAAAATCAATAAAACTGACTGGCTAGTTCAGGAGTCTGTATTTTCAAGAAGTACCGAAAACAGAACTGCATTGGTGCCTGACCTCCAGAGGCAGAACTTTCTGAACAAATGGAATATTAAGTTGTAGGTCTTAGTATTTCTTTTGGACTTCAATTCCATCAGTTCCATCACAGAGATAATTTGTAGGAGGCTTTGCATTTTAAGAGACCAGTGCCAGGTCTCGTATCTAGCTGATTTTGCCTTTACAGAAGAAAGGTGTTGGCCAGAAGGATTTCTCAAATGCCCCATGGACTTCTATTTCACAGCTGTCCCTTTGGCTTATGCAAATATAACTGTTTGCAGCATGATTTACTAAATTAAATTCTGTCTAGTCTTGTCAATTTTTAATAGAGTGTTAGGCAGCTCACAGGTTGAAGTTTTCACATGAAAATCTGCAATTTGTGACTGTTCTGGTGGGCCACTTCATTAAGATAGAAAAGAATATGTTGCAGCTAAAGTTAAGCATTATTTTAATTTTAGCGAGAGTTAAGCATATGCTCTGTCGCTACTCCTACTCATTGAGATCAATGGGACCTACAGGTACTTTGTGGGACAGAAGGCAGTGATGCTGGTGAGATAGCAATGACAGATTTCCGGTTGCAGCTCATTCGGAAGAGACACATCTGCATTTATATAATATATGTGGCCATTTTTGTTCAGATTAATGAGCTATAAAGGTTTTGCCATGAACAGCTGATAAGGGAATTGGGAAGACTTTATGCATTATTTGGGAGAGGATTTTGTATTTTGTTATTTTAATCCACTCTTTTATCTATCATACAACTGTTGTAATAGGCTTACCTAGTCTGACTTTGATAGAATTAAAGCGTCCAGTTTTCTCAGAGAAATTATTCTACCGTTGCATTTTTCCCCCTTTCGTTTTGCATCATGTTCCAACCAACAGATTTCACCAGTGATGTAACTGGAATTTGCTAATATGAAGCAAGTACAAAAATCAAGTCCTTTGTATTGGTTTAAGGAAATAATTGCATTCAAATTATCTTCCATGAGTGGTGGTGCATGCAAAATTATTTATGGGAGCTGCGAAGCATGGCAGGATGGAAGGTTTTGAGCCAGGACTCGCCATTCTGATAGCATTCATGTGCTGATTTTTATGTCTGCTGTTGTAGCTCAATGTGATGGGTTTTTATAGTAATGAAGTTACTACAAAAGCGGCTGAAGTGAGCATGGCTGCTTTGAGAAGTAAGGGCCTAACAGAACTTGACATGAATTGCATGGCTTATGTTACATAAATAGCAACTCTGGAAAAAACTGTATGGCCTCAGACTCATGCAGTGGCGGTGAGCAACGCCCAGCCCTCAGGCTAATCTCAAAACCATTCTGCAGCCAGTCAGTTGAAACTGTGCCAAGAGCCTCCAGGCTTCCTCTTAGTAGCCATATATGCAGAGGCAGAGGCAGAGAAGTAGATAGCAGAGAGCAGAGATGTCAGGGCTCCAGGTAAACCTTCCCTGCAAAATAAAGATTAACAATCATGTTTTCCATGTG